ACAAGAAGCTATTAGCTTATTGTTTCTATTGGCTTCTTGTTACTACTAGTAAGGCACCTGTTACTACTAGCGATGCACTTGTTACTACTAGTTAGACACAGGAACTGCGCACCGGAAAGGAAGCGAAAATCCACTGTTCCCCCGCCGCTTGAGAGGACGCGTGGCGTCGCGTTTGCCGGGGAAGTCGTCATCACCCCTCCGCCCCAGTCTTCGCCCAAGGATCTCTTCAAATGGGTCACGCCTTCCAGCGCGAAGTCTTTGTCTTCCTCAGTGTCCCAAAGAACCATCGTGGGATGGCGCGGGCGCTCGAAATCAAGAACGCCGACGAAAAAGAAACAGCGAGTGGATGAGGGGAAGTCTTTTTCTTTTCTTAGTTTGGAAGGTTCTGAGAGAGCACAACCGGCGAGCAAAAAGATCGATCAAACGACCAACACCTCTTGGTCTTTTCTGTCTGGTTTTCCGCTTGGAAATTTGCTCCGCGCGGTTTTTTAAAGCACTGACCTGCCCCACGATGGGGCTTTGGTGATCTCATGAAGCTGTGAAGCAGTGGCCTGTCCACGTGGCCTGTCCAGCATCAACCTTCCCCAAACATGGATGATCAAACCTCCTTCCTGTCTGAGGGTGTCTAATTTATAGTCTATAGCGGTGAGTTTGGGGTGTCCAAAAATCACCGGAACTTGCGTTCGGTGCTGGTATGGAGGCTTGATTCATTGAACCGCCTAAGTGGCGCACTTCTTCGCCGAACCCTCCGTTCCTCCGCCCGCGGTTCGGCCCGTTCCTCCGCTGTTGCCGGTGGAAGCAGACAACTCCGAGCTGCGACGGGGATGCCTTTCAAGACTTTCCACGCGTCCAGCCTGGGCGACTGCGGTTGAAGGCACCACGGTGGGACAAACGCAGGAGACGAAGAAGATGTACAGAACTGCATTAAAACCAGGTGGGAGCAGCACAGCAAAGGATTATATGTAGGTGGGGTCCTTTGTGGGAGTTCCAGATTAGGCAATTTCATTCCTTTTCGGGTGCACAGCCACCATGGGGTCGTCCCTAGTCTCAAAGCAGAACACATATGATTCTACACCCAAGAAGATTCCAAACTCTGGAGCGATTCCAATCAAGTCAATTGAAGTCCATATAATATAGATTGAATAGCTTGAGAGGGATCAAACAAATCCTAAAGTTTCTTGGACTGCTTCTGAGTCTTAGACATCAGAACTAGAACTCGTTCTTGATGGATTGATGCTTCGAAATCGACGTCCCAACGATGGACCCCAAATCGATGCAGAGCCCAAATGGGCAGCCGGGCACATTGGCGGGCACGAAGATGTAGCCTCAAACGACGCCCGCCGCGTCGCCGCGGCGGGTCTCTCGACGGTCCGTGGTCCGTAGGAAGAATCGCCCGTCGTCGGACGTGTGTGCGCCATTGTGTGTGCATATTGCCTGCGCTGCCTTTTTGGTGTGTACAACAACCTCTGCATTCCCTGGCCATGTATGAATGTGGCTGAGTGATCGATGCCTTTCTCACGACCAGCCGCTACCAGCTGGAGGTGGGTCAGGCGACGCCCTTCCAGGGCTTCAGCAACAGCCCTCCCCCAACAGTACTGTGGTGAGCCAACCTCCTGTGAAGCTAGTGTGAAAACACGGTAAACGACATCATGGAACATGTCTTTCACGTCTTTCTTCTTCGAGCAACAAATTAGGAGGAATTTCGCTGCTGCTGCTGCTGATGATGCTGATGACCTCATATACGGTCCCCGCGCGTTACCCGCAGCCCAAAACAACGGCTTTCAGCACGGTCCACAGGAGGGCGTCCAGACCTTGCAAGTCGGGTGGCTCAGGGAGGCTTCAGGGCCGAGACCTTGCTCTGCCAGAGTCTCTGTGAGGGACAACTTGGACTCTCCATACCTTGCTTGCGCTCGCTGCGGAGACTCAGAGGGGACGGACGGTCGACCGGACTTCTCCGTGCATCCGATCGCTCCTAGTTAGGGATGCCAGGAGCCCCGATCATAGCTGCTTGTTCCTAGTAGGGCCACCACTGACAAAGCTGCTTTGGCGCTTCAGGCGACGCTGTTTTTTGGGTACCGTGGGTTGCCTGAGACCATTTCAGTGGATGACGCGAAGAACTCTTCAATACAAACTAGAAAGATTAGAGAGGGCTCATCTCCTGAAAAGCACCGACTAAACGCACAAGAACGCACATAAACATGAACACACTATCCAAAGTTTCGTTTCATGGCCTTGAGTGCCTCGAAAAACCGGACCGTTCATCGAGTTCCGTTCCGTTCCGTTCCCGACCCGGGCGGCGTCCACGACCGACCGGAATTCGAACTGACGTGGTCTCGAACCCGCCCGGGCTGCAGCAGGGAGAGAGTGGCCGCAGGCTTGGCGGGCAACTCGGCGCTGATCTTCCGCCCTCGGCGACCGGGAATTCCGGCGCCAGAACACCCGTGGAGTGGAACGCGCCGGTGGAACCACAAGAGGTCGCGGGACGACATGACCTGGAACCCAGACATGACCTTTGTTTTGATAGGAAGTTTGGCCATATTTTTGGGTGGTTGGTGCTCCAAAATAGAGGTCATTCAGGTTCTAGGTAGAGCGGTGCTCTCCACCAGCCCGACAAAGCAGACCGCCGCCTTCGAGGGTCAGATCGAAGTCATTCGGAGATCCGGGGGTGCCAGTTTCCGCACCTCCCTTCACGTCGCTCTCTTTTTTTCAGTCGCAGAACCCCCCGAGTTGTTTCGATCGATCTGGGAAAAAGAACGGTGAAACCGAACTGTCCACCTCTTTGATTTGAGGGGGTGTCCCTTCCCTCCCCAATTCCCCTCAAAGGGTCTACACTCTGACTCACTAACATGGAAGTGGATGGCATGGTCCCTTGGAAGACGACTTTCCTTTACAAATGGCGGTTTCCACTTCCATGTGATGTGTTCGTCAGAGTGAAACTTCAGATCCACGTCCTTCCTGGGTATCCACACCATCCACTCCCCCCGCCGCCAGCTCCACTCTCTTCCACTCCAAGCGGCTCAGGTCCCGCCCGAGCATCTGCCGCGGCACGGTGAGGCTGAGCCCCTCCCCGTCGATCCCCAACACCTCCGAGAGGAGCAGCGGAAGCTTCAAAGAACATGAGCCAACATGAGCCTCCCAAACCACCTGTCCTTGGTCTGATCCATTCAAACTGAACTCCTCCAGAAAAGCACAGGGCATATGCTTTTCTTGACACTTTCCATCCCTCACATCCATGCGACCATCCCTCACACCTGCGGCCTTCTTTCCCTTTCGACCGGACCAGTTCCGACCGACCTGCAGGCTGATGGTCGCGTCCATCTCCTGGTCCTGTCGATCGGCTTCAGTCGTCGGGTCTCCCGAGATGTGGAGGCCAAGGGAGACCACGCAACGGGGGACTTGAAGAAGGACCCAAACGCTCATGGGCCGGGGTCGGACCCGAATCCTCGGGTCAGGGGTCTGGGGTCTCAAATCCCTTGGGTTTTGAAGGACCAAGGGTTGTTTGGAGCGTCTGGGGAGGAAGGAATAAGAAGGAACATACCTGGACCCTCTAAGGGGTGCCCTGTCTGGAAGCCTATAGGTAGTGTGGAGGAGTCCAGCCAGGACACCCCGACAGGAGGGTCCAGGTAGACCACAAAACTGGTGGGAGATGAAGAAAAACCATTGACCTCGACATCTGGATGCCGAGATCTCGTTCCCACTGGATCAGAGCCCGCAACGCGCTGCCCGGGTTCCACCTGGCCCGCCCCGCGGTACGGCGAAAGCGTGCCGAGGAAGACCGACCGCGCCTTGACAAGCTCTGCCATTGCTGGATTGGCAGGTCCATAGGCTAGGGATCCATGAAAGATTGAGTTACAACTGACTACACGTCTTCTTTGGATTTATTTTTATGCCTTTGTTCTGGTCAAGCACGAGCCGTTCGCGCGTTCTGCAGGCTAAGCAGTCATCTGCGGTCCAAGGTGTTGGGCTTTGTGATGCTTTGGTTTGGCGTATGTAGGTGAAACATGTCGAGTTTGATGGTTGGGACGGCCGGTCTTTGTCTCATCTCGCCGTGGCTCTTCAGTCGATCAGGGCGTTCCACTGGTGAGTCTTCATGGAGACTTCGCTTGACTTCACTTGCGTGGTTGCTTCAGGATTTAATTTGTCAAACAGATTTCAACATCGTAAACGGATATACCACACGATACAACTTGAAAAAGGCAATGGTTTCTTTTTTTCATGTTTTATATTCCTTCCCAATGGGCGGGAAAAGACCGCGACTCTTGGAGCCGAAATCGTGACGCCGGAGCACAGCATTCAGCACCGCGTGACGAGTTCGGTCGTTTCGTCACGTTCGTTCCTTCGAGTTCTGTACCTCGGGTGGTTTTGAAACCGAAAAAGGAGTTCAGGGTCACACCCAGAGATTTTGCATGATTTTGCTTGTGTTCAATGCTTACTACTCGCTTATTTAAGACTAAGACTTCTTTCTTTAAAACAGAGCTGAACTGGAGGTCTTTCCCATGCCACTGAGCAAAATCGGACACATGGCATACAATTGCACCTAACATGCAGTGGAAGACTATCCCCCATGAATCTTACAACCCTCTCCCATGCATTGTTCCAAACGCCCGAAGTAATCCCTTGGGGGAAATGAACGTGCAACCTCAGAAAGATCCTGGTTCCTATAGCGGATCCTAGTGGCGGTTCCCAGCAAAGGCTAAACTTCAAAACAAAGGCGTGACCAACTTACATGCTGTACATTCAATTTACCTCAGCGGCAGCGGCGTCTTCAATTTGGACTCGCACTAATTGCAGGCTTTCAAATCTCACGATCTTTCATGCCCCACCACTTTTTCTGGGTGCCAAACATTGATAGCTATCGACACGGGTGGAGTATAACAAATCAACATGGACCCCTTTTCAACCACCCCTAAGTCCAAATGCCACGTTTGAAAAAAACTCATGTCAGAGATCACCCGACACTTTTCGACCACCCGACCGTCCACTCACTGAGCACCCCTGGCCACCGGCTGCTCCACACAGTCCACGGCGCTGCCCGAGTCGCAGACCGCCGTCCGGTCTCAGCCGCTACAGGTTCGACCCGACACCCACGGGGTGTGGATGGACGCTTGCAGCGCAAAGGGATGGAGTCACCGGAGGGTACTCGGTTCGGAAACAGGATTCACCGGGTCGGAAACAGGATGTTCTTTTCGAAGGTTCCTTCTTTGGGCGAGGTTTGAAAGCAAAGGTGACTTCACCCCGAGCTCATGGAGGTTGACTACTTCTAAACCAGGGCGGCCACCTACATGCACCCGCGCCAGTTGCCGTCACAAAAACATCTCCCACTATAGCACTCACAGCTCTCTGCTAGGGAACTCACATCATCGCAATATTTTCATGATCCCAGTCAGATTGGGAGATGTTGACTGTTGGATGATTGACTGTTGGAAGACCCACATGATAATCAATGGTTGGGGCCAGTTGGTCTTCAATGCTGGAAGATCCACAAGTATATTCAACTGCCCTTTCCAACTTCTGCCACCGACCTTCTTCCCTTTCACCACCTCACCACCTCCGGGGCGGGCGTATCGCAGCGCGGCGTCGCTTCGCAGCGCATCGCCGAGCAGCGTTGAAGCCCCGCGCCACAGGTGGCGTCACAGTCGGTCCATTCGCCCAAGGTCCAGCCGCAGCCGCTGGTGACCCGGCAGGACCTCGGGGGATCGACGGGTGGACGAGGTGGAGTTCTCCTGGAATCAATGGGTAGCCGAGTTCTTATTTGATTTTAATCCCAGACGCTCATGGGCCCTCATATGGAGGGGTCGGACCCTCATACGGAGGGGTCTGGGGTCTCAATTCCCTAGGGTTTTGAAGTGCCAAGAGCTGTTTGGAGCCTCTGGGATGGTCTAAAACCGTCGATACTTTTTCCGACTCCAATCAGCCGTATGTCCAATCAAAATGACGGTCCATCCAGAATCGAGCGAATGGCATTCATCGCACGAGGTTGGGTCCGACAAAGATAGTGACGATCTTGGGTCCCGAGGAATATTCAGAAATGGGTCATGTCCGACCAGAGCCCAGCAGATGATGAAGGCAGCTGGCAGGCCTTTCTCCAAGATAGTGACAGTCAGTGATAAATATTTTACCGAATGTTGCTGGTAGAGGGCCACACCCTACATATTCGTGCATCTGTTGGTCCTGAAAAAAACTTGTTGAGCCAGCAGCTGGGGCTATTTGATGCAGCATTCTGCACAGGCGCTGAGTTCACCGCAAGTGGTTTCTGGACTTGTGGCATATATGACGGGTGGACTTTTTGGGTCACAGCTGTGTCAACTCGGTCGTCAGTCTTGACCGGCTATACCACTTGATGGTAGAGTTGGGTTGTGTCGCATTGTTGAAGTCTTGATATGCAAAGCAGCGGCGACTTCAGGGGCAAAACAAGTCTCCCACCTACCACAGGAAGATATGGGGCTGCAAGTGATTGCTGTACCAAACTAACACTTGACTCGAAACATATCCACACCAATCATGCATACGAACCTCCTTCCACTTCCCTCGTGACTAGTCTCATCCCCACTCAGCAACGCCGTGCACGGTGCTTCCAACGCCAGTGCTGCCGACCCCCCCCCTGTGAACTCCCTCCACGGTCCCACCCCCTCCCCTCAGACACCTCCTCCACACGAGCCGAGCCGAGCGGGACCCTTCGTGGCTCCGCTCCATGGCCGCCCCTCCCGCCCGTGGCGCTGCGCCGGCCCTCCCGGGGTCGGTGTTTCGTTGGGCCCAAGGCGCGTTTCGTTGGAGGGCTTCGCCTCCACGCAGTCGGTGTCCTCGCCGCTGCTGCAGCGCACCGTGCGCGCCTGGGGAGTGGGGAGGTTGGAGGTCCGAGGGGTAGATGCCAGGAGCATGGCTCTGAACTGCAAATCCTTGACAGAATCCCTATAGCTGCATGATTCTCATTCCATACCACCTCTCCATAGCAACAAATTGAAAAACATCCTTAGGAGTCTAAGAAGTGAATGCAGTTTCATCTTGCCATTTCACACATCATTTCACTCCATACCTTTCCAACCCAACCTCCGGCCTTGCTTCCATCTCCACAGTCGTTGGAGCATTCGGACCATTCACCGAGCCCTGGCCACCGGCGTCTTCGGCAGGAACTCGGTTTCAACGGTAGGAACTTCTGGAACTCGGTTTTCTTTTCATTTTTGGGTTCGAATCTTTCGTTGGTCTGTTCGAATCTGGCTTTTTCTATACTGATGGGTTTTTAATCCGCTTTTCATCTGTTTGATTGCTTTCATCCTTTTCTTTGCATTGGTTTTGACACTGGTTTTCTTCTGATCACATCATTCTTGAAAAGGAAAGAACGGGTCGAAGGGGTCGAATGGTGGTGCTCTAAAGAGCGAAATGAGAATACACAAATATGGAGAAACACAAGTCCAAAATTGCTACCAAAAGGTACCAAAAAAAAACATCATCACTTCAGTTAAAACTAGATGAGAATAGTCCAAAAGGACCACCACTGCATCCATGAGTAAAACCATATCTCAGTATCTCTACATCACCCACCCACGCACCCACATCTCAACATCTCACCACCACGTACCCTGGGCCACCGGGCGCCAGTCGCAGCCCCTGCCACGGCAGCTTTCCGAAGAGGCCGGTTCCACCTGCGTTGCGACGAACAAGGTGCCTGCACCCACACGAAGCTGGGTGAGGCTGGGTGAAGCTGAGTGGGATCTGGGACCTATAGTCGATTCCATGCACAGGTATCTCGGTATTGATCTAAGCTATTCCGCCAGAAAGGTCAACTGGATTTGCTTTGCTATGCTTTGCTTGTAGTGAGCTCAAGCAGATCCCCAACGTCGGGACCGCGCCGCCGGAAGCGGGACGGGAGTGGCTCGGTGGAGGGCGTTCGACGCAAGCCCAGAGAGACCAGAGAGAGGACGGCTCAAAGAAGATCAACCATTTTTGGCCCTATAACAGGAAAGCACGACCAATGACTCCCCCAAAACCTGGCACTTTTTGCTGAAAGACGCTGGTGATTGGAGGGAAAAGACATATTCAGTCTTTTGGTCAGAGGTGCCAAAAAACCACATGTTCTGTAGTAGTGCTGGACTATCTATAGGTTTGATAAAGAAATACCCGAACACTCCATGGGACTATTTGCATACAAAGGGGCCAATGTCGGCATATTTGTCCGTATGACAATAGTGTTGGGGTATGACAATAGGGAGACCCCAGAATAAGGACCTTCGTCTTCGGACCCAGGACCGACCAGATCTGACCTAGCGGCGTCGCCGGGTTGGGCGGGTGCCCACCTCGAAGGAGGCACAGTCTGCAGGCCAGCCGGAGGGACAGGTCCTCAACAAAGCAGAAATTGGCTGCTGTCTAAGCGTTTAACCATGTTTAACCCATATAGCCTAATCTATATAGCTATATTTTAACTATAGTGGTTTAGTGTGACATCCCTTCCTAACCAAAAGGACTCAGGGCCAAAGAGTACGCCTGGGGACAGCTAGTCACAGGCGACTCGTCGTCAGTGTATGTAGGAAAAGAGAGGATTATTTTATTATATATATATATATTGTCAGGAGAATCGCATATCATGTTCATCTTGTATCAGGAGATAGTGGCTAGGTCGCTGACTTCTACCTGGAAACCTGTTGTGCCACACACCCTACACATCTTCCACAGCTTGTATGTCTTCCTTCCAGTCTGCCTGTTCAAAAAAAGACACCAAGGGTGAAGAAAGTGAAGAAACGATACACCACATGCGATCTGGACTCCAACCACTTCCCTACAGGATGACTGCTCTGGGTCAAACACTCTTTTAGGCGAAGGCATTGTTTTCAGCAGCCTATGGACCTCATGCAGTGGACACATGCAGAAACTGGGCAAATGGTCAGGCCAACACCCCTGCCGGTTCTTTCGCACAATTGATCTTGACGATCTTGGCCATCCTGGCACACTTCCATGAAGTTCTCAGATAAAAACCTAGGACCGAGGCTACTGAGTGGCCACAAAAACCACCAAACTCGCCAAGAAACCACCGAACTCCCCCGGGAAGCGTCCAACCCAATTTCCTCCACACCGGGCGCCCGCACACCGCGCGGCTCCGAACGCCCGCGCCGCAGGTGGTGCTGCAAGAGCTCCAATCTCCCAGGGACCAGGCACATCCCACCTGGTCCGACGGCCACTCGGCTTCCCTCCGTCGAAATCGATCCGCGATGGATCCCGTGATCGGAGTCTTCCTCCCGGTTCGCGGAGCCCGTGGGAGGAACACCTGATCGACCCGCCGTGGCACGGTACCGAATGAGGCACCTACTCTGCCTCGATGTCGTTCGTCTCTGCCGAGCGGCCACATCGTAGCAGCTCTCCACGGCCGTTGGCACAGGAAGGGAAGCGCAGTCGGCCGCGAGGCCAGAGGAGCAAAGCACTGGACCTCGTGGTGGTGCTGTGGCGGTGATAAGGACGTTTCTTGCTTGACTGGCGGGGGCTGGGTGGCTGGGTGTAGATGGGCCACTGGGTAGTTTAGTGTGGGTTCCAGTAATTAGATGGCAAATTTGATCCTAAGTGCCTGGCAAGTTGGTTGGTTGGTTGGTTGGTCAGTTTTCTGCCTCTTGTTGGAGTTGGTGATCCTTGCTGGGGCTCTCTTCTACCAATCCCTGAACCGTCCGTCTTCTTCCGCACCCCTCCTCGGGCTCCCGGCGGACGCGCACCCCGGAGCCGCAGCCATTGTCACAAGCGCTCCAGGACTGCCTCGGTCGGCGCGCTTCTTTTTGTGACGCGGCGGATCCACCGAAGGCTTTGCGGCGTTGCAGGCAGCCACGGTGGCGAAAGAAGAGGACCCCCAAAATAGAACATTTTTTCCCAAGAAAAACGAGTTCTTGGACGGGGGCTTCTATCCATGCAGTACTTGACGACACTGAGTCGCAAATCACATAGAACATCCTGCACTCCAAATACCTCGAGAATCCTCAAGATATTCAACAAAGACCAGATTCCCTCACGACTGCCAAATTACGTCTCGTCCGTAGGTAGCAAACAGGGATTGCAAACAAGGATCCCTTGTTTATTCTCCCCAAGAGACTCCCAATCCTTGTACTTCACCGATGGGTTTCCAGTTTTGGGGGACAGAAAGCACTTCCTTGATTGCTGCAGGGGATTGGAGGGGGTATATCCCCTCCCTCATTCTGTTCGTTCTGGAAGACCCATATATCAGTCAACCCGTCAACCCCCGGCATGAAGGATTCGACCTCCAACAAATCGGCGCAGGAAGACCGCGTGTCTCGGTGTCTCGAAAGAGGACATCGGCGAAAGGACACGCATTTTGACATGGTTGGGCAATGTGGAGTACTTTCCTGATTTTGACATGGTAGGAAATAGGAATTGCGAGAATGGTTGGGATACTTTCCTGATTTTGACACACTCAGACTGCCTGGCTCCCTCCAAGTTGAAACAGCACCCTGGACCATGCTGGACTCGGGTGTCCGGTCACAGGCGAGCGCCGTTGGTCGCGCCAAGCCGGCAGCATGGTCCTGGTGAACAGGATTGGAACAAAAAAACCCACCATCCACAGTGTTTCGTCACCATGAAACCCTTGCGTCTCCGGTTCCCTTGCTGCCAAGGAGCGTGATCCAAAGGCAGTCGCTGGTCTCGTAGCACTCCTCCGGAGTTTTGCTTCGCTGTCGCTGTCGCGTGGTTCGCGTGGGTTGGGCCCGGTCTAGCATAGACGCTTAAAGAAGAGAACCGACTCTCCAAGACGAAGGTCTTGGATTCTTAGCCCGTGGCCTGCCCTCCTACTACTCCAAAAAGGTAGGCCGGCTACTCAATGAAGTCAGGAGGCTCACGCTCCTCGTAACTGGACGCAGGAGAGCGAAAACGCTTCAAGGAAACTTCCCCTCCGCCCTCAGGTGCGGGGAGCGTTGAATCGAAACACATCCTCTATGAATCAAGGTCTCAAGGAGATTCTATGACAATCCGGAAGTGACCATCACACGCACACACAGTCTTGTGACACAAGTGCCAAGTTCTTAGATCCTCGAATCAGTGCAGGGATCAAACCAAACTACCCTGACTGGTTCTTCCTGGTCTTCTCCATCCAAAGGTTTCCAATACATGGCTACAACAATACTTATGTTATCGTCCGTTTGAATGCCCTGGCAAATCATTCAGTAAGGTCTATGTAAATTTCTTGCATGCTGGCCTTTTTCGCAAACAAAGGCAGTCCTCCTCAGTTGCTGGCATAGGTGATGGACAGTCAGCTGCCTGACAGGATTTCGCGGAATACACCGAAGTACCTTCCTGGGTGCCAGCTGTTTTGGGATGACACACTGCAGCGGCGCCTGGCATATTGAGTCCCTATGGATCCACATACCACATACCTTCTGAGAAGGTGATTGGAGACTATTTATGTAGGCTTGGAGAGCCCACATACCTTCTGAGAAGGTATGTGGATCCATAGCGAGTGCAAAGATGGAAGATGATGGAAGTCTTGAGGACTTGATCCAAAGGAGCCCCTCCAACATGGACACAGAACCCCACCACGAAGTTTTGTAGAGGACCCGCCCACAGGGTGCTGTGTCTGGGATCGCTGGCCGTTTGAAGGGTCCGACTGGGATCGCAGTGCCAGTGCTTTTGAAAAGTTACAAAGTCCAAGGGAGTTTCTCGGCCCAGGTAGACTTGTCCCATAGGTCCGGAATTTCCACGGTGAACTGTTACCCTGACATGTCCTGACTTGATTGCATCTGGTTCCAAAGCTCCAAAGAGGGTCCTCCTTTTGCACTCCCTCTCCGTGGCCTGGTGGCCTCTTTCCCAGTTCCTCCTTCCCTCTCCTTCCACCCGGACGACCCTAAACCCACCGTCTCCGCGCCGCGTCGCGCGCGGTCGCCGCGCCGTCCGGCCTGGCCGCTGGGGCACAGCACGCTCCGGCCCCGGCGCCCGGCGCCGCAGGAGCTGCTGCACGCCGTCCACGACCTCGCTCCACCGCTCGCGCGGAGCGGTGGAAGCAAGCGCGGTGGTGTCGAAGTATGTTCTCAGCGAGTATACCGGTGGAAGCGGTGTAATACAAGCATGAACACCGCTCCATGCTTTGGATTCGGCGAAACTGTATTGCATACCATGTTCTTTTTGGTCTTTGCATTTGCGCGATGAAAGGACTGGGATTGGACATAGAGAGCCTCCATCCTCACCTTGAGCAAACCTCAAAAAATTCACATCAGCTGACTGGAAAAAAAACCAACGACCCGTCCGATTGTCCATTTGCATTTGCCGAAGACCGGTTCCAACGTCCCGTCCGATTGACTGGCCAAAACCGCGTTTGACGTGGACGGCAACGGCGGCGACTGGGACAGGAGCCGTTTGGTTCCGAAGAGCTAACCCCAGAGACGACTAATGGGACGGCCATAGGACTGCCGATCAGGCCAGGGGTGGTGCCAGGGGGGTCAATGGGGCACTGACTCCCTCAGTTTCCATGGGATTTCTTTACCGGTTTCCAGGTGATCCATTGGTTCTGGGTAGGAACAGGTGGTGCCATGGTTCCTCCATCCACGGTTTGGGCCCTTGGAATTCTCGAGACCCTCGAGTTGGGCCGGTTCCGGCCCGAATCGAACTCCAAGCAGCCGAAAAAGAGAAATCATCCAACATCATCTTATATTGGAAGCGCCTGTATAGAAGCCCTCTTTAGATTGCTTCCTGTATGTACCGTACATGTGCATCTCCAGTCTGATGGTTTCGCCTTGCTGATTCGGTCAGTCCGTGGTGCGGGGTCACTTCCTCCCTGGTCGGCTGCGAGTCTCGCTTCGTATGACCCTTGGGGTGTGTCCGGTCGGCCGCCAGCATAGAGTCAGTACAAGAACCGGTGTGTGGAAACCCACTAACCTGGACCCTGAAAACCACTGGTTTGTAGAGGACAACCATCTTTCCAGGTCCCATTTGACTCCGGGTCCATGTGAGGTTTCCGGCAGTGTATCTGCTTTCGGCCGTCCTTTTCCTTGGGACCCCCCGTGTTTTTGCGCCCCGGGCGTCCCTTTTTCCGCTGGGGCGAAATCGATCCTTGGGCCTCCAACGAGGGTGGTGGGTCTTCCAGGAGGTCTGGGAGGAGGGCAACGGATCGAGGAGGGTTCTGAGGTGTGCCAGCCCATGTATCTGACTGGTTGGTGAGTTTCCACTCTCTGGAATATTATGAGTCAGTGCGTTTCAATATATGTTTCAATCATCCCAAGGTTGAAAAGACAAAGACCTCAATTGACCACTCCATTCCACCCCCTAAGGCAGGATAAGGCAGGTCAATCTTCGATGGTCCAGTCCAGAAGCCTCAATCGCCTAGTAACAAGAAGCTACTAGTAACAAAGGGCATCGCTACCCACGGATCAAGGACGCTACGAACGTAGCTCCTGGCATTACTACTAGGAACAAGAAGCTACTAGTAGCTAGAAGCTGAATCCTTCGAAGATTTCCTGGACGAAGCGACTCACGACTCACAGCACAGCCAGAACCTGCCATCCTCTTCGAGGATGGGAGACCCTCCGCCCCGCTGCCGGTGGATTGGACGCAAGGAGACGCGGCGTTGGATGCGGGTGTTGGACACATGAGACACCAGCCTCCTTTCCTAGCCTCGACTTGCTGGAGAATGAACCGTCACATATTCGACTTCAAGTGGCCGTCTGCGAGGACGGGTTCCATGCAAGAATTTGGATGGTGATCCTAGAACCTTTCAGGAGTGGTCGGTGTTTCTTCCTCTTCTTCGTGGCATGGAACACATCGCGTGAGGAAAAACATATCGCAACGTCTATCTCAACGTGTCTATCTCAGTGCCTCAAGGTCTGAATCTAAACCTGCCCTAAGGATCCTTGGACCCTCCAAAGCAGGGGTCCGGGCCCGAACCAAACTCTATGTGTTTGAGGGCCCGGATTCTTAGGGTGGAGCGTTTGTTTGTTTCTTTCTGGATATCCAAGGAATCAGATTGCTTAAAACCACTGATGACGTGTTCTGAACGCACACTGGGTCACTCCGGCACTTTGAAGTTCCACATCAGTCGTTTCAAGGCCCAAACTGACATCGTTTCGAAGATGACGCAGTTGAGCACAGTGTCCTGCCTTTCATGAACCTATAGTGGACCCCCTCATCTCAGCAGAATGATGCACTTGGCAACCCCTTGGGTCCAGTCCACCCTGAAGTCCAGGCGCGTTTTTTTTCGCCCGGAACGTCTGACGGCATTAGCTCCTGGACCGCCCGCACGGCGGCCAGTCGACGCAAGCCTTCTGCGGCTTTCAGCTGCTGCGCTTTTAGCTTCTGGGGAGTCAGCTCGTCCTGTCTTCGGGCATGTGTATTCTGTATTCTTTAAATCTTGCAGGGTGAAAGGAAGGGGCCGTTCGCTTGAGCTTACATGATCGCACCTGCTGGTCGAACATGACCATGTCGAATCGCGTGGAATCACATGTCACGTAGCTTGACCTCTAACATCTGTCCAGAACGACTCAAGGAATACAGTTCCATCTGGCCTCACTGCTGGACCTCGGCCCGAAGTCTACGGACTTCACTGACTGCACTCTCATGAGAAAGACATCGCTTGCCACCCTGGGAAGCCACCAGGTGTGCCAGCTGTACCTTATGGTGCAGCAAGGCATCCAAGGCATTCAAACGATCGATCGAACAAACAACCAGCTGTATTTTATTGGGAGACCGTCAACCAATGGTTTGTGATATTTTTCTTTTTTTGCAGGTCTTTGGGAGGTCTCCCTGTTTCTCAATCTTCATCTCTTTTTCTTGCACAAATCGGTTGCATGCTATAGCTAACTACGTAGAGTATGAGTAGTTGGGTCTTTAGGCTGATTTTGGCTGAGAGATGGAAGAGGACCTGGGGTGACCTGAGAACAGCTCCAGTCCCCTGGTGTTGCATCCACCCTAAATTAAAGCTTTTATCGACCTGAAACATGCTGAACATCTTGCAAGAGGCTCAAACCCATGAGGTCATTTTCCTGTGTTCAAGCTGATACCGTTGAGAATGGCCCAGCAAACAGGGCGAGCGAACCCCCAACCAAAAGAGTGATGTTTATCTCAGTTTACAGAACTCCAGGCAGACAAACATAAGGATATGATTTCAGTCTCTCCATTCCAATCATGTATGACTCATGACCATGATATTGGCTGGCGTATGCCTGAGGTCAAGCACCCAGAGATCAACAATGAGGATTGCAAAACGAAACAAAACTAGGTACACACACACACACAGCACTTCTTTTTCTAGTGCCTGGCCTAGGTTTCCATTGCAGAGTTCATGGCCCACCTGCTACAGTGAGAATGTCCTGGCTCGGGTTCTTCGCGGGTTACCGAACTCTGGGGCTCCATGCCCGAGTCCCTGGCGCGAGCGAGGATGTCTGACACGGTCGCATTGCCATTGCACACGTCAGAAAGCACAGAAGAAAGCAAAGATCGACACCCAACAAAAAGAACCTGAAAGCAACACCTGAAGACCAACATCCCTCCAAAGATCAATACCAAACAGAAGGGTGTCACGCTTCTCCCAACAGAAGGTTTTTTGTGTGACTCCCAATCTGTTGGAAGAAACCTGAACGATTTTGGGGGTGTCGCCCTTCTCCCAACAGATCCAACAGATCCTTCGTCCTCTGCCTGGGTGGTGGAGCGCCAGCGCTGCGTGCCTGTGGAGGCGCTAGGCGCCGGTGGTGCGTGTCGTCCAGACACGTCACGTGGTCGTCGGGTGCTCGGGTTTTTCCGTGCTTTTGAGGCAAAGCCAAGAACGATGCATGCACCAAGGAGTGATCTCCAGATGCGAAAGGAAAAGGTTTTCCGTGGGATTTGGGACCTCCCCATCCGTCCTCCTCCCAGATCCCTCCAAAGCATACGACCACTTTCTATGTTCTGGCTAAAGTGTAAGGCTCTTTGGAAACCATCCAAGTCGAGTAAAACCAAGTAGAGAACAATAATTGTATCATACATATGTATAGATTTTAGTTATATCTGGTTTGTGTTTTCAGCCCACTTGAACCATATTAGCCAAAGGGTTCAATCATGTTCAATCATCCCCAAGTAAGGGTTAAAAATAAACATATCCGAAACCATCACCTAGATATGTGATGCTGTGATTCATCCGTCATCCTTGGAGGCCTATGTCAGGCCAGGCAGTCAGGCCAGGCATGACCCAGGCCCGGTGTCCCAAACGTGCGCCGCCCACGGAGGCCGCGTGCCGCCGTCGCCTGCGTGCCGCCGTCGCGCCTAGGGGCGATGTGGCAGATCTGTTGGGGATCTGGCGACCGGTTGACCTACCTGGAAGGTCGTAAGCTGCATGGTGGACCAGGGCCTCAGGTTTGGACCCATCCCCATCTCAGTGTTTAACCTCCACTCGCTTGAAAGCGGTGGAATTGAAAGACATCGAACAGTTACGGACAGACTCATTTTGCTGCTGCCACGTGTGCACCCTGACAAGGAATACAATAAGTGTTTGTACCCGCAAAACAATCAGTGTGGTGGCCAAAAGCAGCCCAAGGAAAGACAGATGAGAGCAGAAGTCTGTTGCGTCAGCAATCACTCTTAGACGATCGAAGAATGATTGACAATTCGAATGACCCCAGTACAAAAAGAGTCAGCGATCATCGCAGCCCAACAGATTCCCAAGGCACAAACACAAACAAGACCAGGGTAGTTACAGCCAGACGAAGCAGCTTTGGACTCAGGAAAACAGCGCCGGGGAACACTTCCATACATTGACATGATGTCAATCTATTTTCTGCTATGCATGGGCGATCGCCACCCATCTCGCCTGCTACTGGGAGAAGCTGCTCGTGACTGCTGGCGCGAAGGTTGCCGAGACTGGCGGACATGGACCAGTCGAAGCAGGAAGGCGTACCAAGTCTGATGAATCCGATGGATCAATAACGATCAACAGCCACTGTGATGAGCTTTGGATGGTTCTAGGTCCTCCTGAAAACTTGAGTTTATCTGGGCCTCAGCAGGGGAAG